TATATAACAGATAAGTAGACTTCAGAACAAAGAACATTATCAAGATAGAGAGATATTTCATAACAATAAAGAAGTCAATTTATCAAGAAGACATAATGAACCTAATGCATACATACCTAATAAAAGAGTTCCAAAATATATGAGAAGCAAAACTGACAGATACAAAAGGAGAAATTTAAAAGTTCACAATTATAATTGAAGTTTTCAATACCAGTCTCTCAATAATTGACAAGATCAGTAAAGATAAAGAAGATCTGAATAACACTATCAATCTCCATGACCTAATAAACAGTTACAGATCCAACAAGAGCAGAATATACATTCTTTTCAATGTACATGTTACATTTACCAAGATAAACCACATTCTGGGCAATACAGCAAATCTCAGTAAATTTAAAAAGACTGAATTATGTTCTCTGACCTCACCAGAAATAAACCGAAATCAATAACAAAAATATCTCTGGGAAGATGCCAAATACATGAAAACTAAGTAACATACTTCTAAATAATCCATGGGCAAAAAGAAAATCACAGAGAAATTAAGAAGTATTTTAAATAGAATAAAAACAAAAATTCAACAATCAAAATATGTGGGATGCCACTAAATCAGTACTTAGTAAAAATTTACAGCATTAAACACTTATATGAGAAAAAAAGGAAAGTCTCAAATCAATGACCTCAGCTTCTACCTAAAAAAACTAGAAAAGCAAATGAAGACCAAAGTTAAGCAAAAGAAAAAAATTACAAAGATTACAGTAGAAATCAATGCACTATAACTAGAGGAAAGAAAAGAAAAAAAAAATAAAACCAAAAGCTGGTTCTCTGAGAAGATCAAAGAAATTGATAAAGCTCCAGCCAGACTGACCAGGATAAAAAGAGAGAAGAAACAAATTACCAATATCAGAAATGAGAGCAGTGACATCAGTATAGATTCTACAGATAGTAAAAGGATAAGGGATTATAAATAATTTTAAGCTTATAAATATAACAATATAGATGAAATGAAAAAATTCCTTAAAAGACACCAATAAGCAAAACTCATTCAAGTAGAAATAGATAACATGAAGAACTGATATCTTTTAAAGAAACTGAAATTGAACTCCTGGTCCAGATGGCTTCAATAGTGAATTCTACCAAATATACAAGAAATAAATAATAACAATTTTACATAAACTCTTCTAGAAAATTGAAAAGATAATTAAACCGTAATAAGGTATCACTATACACCCCCAAGGGACTAAAACTAAAAAGACTGATGACACCAACTGTTGGTGAGGATGTGGAGGAATTGGAACTCTCATACACTTATGATGTGAATGTAAAAGGATACAACCACTTTAGAAAACTGTACAGCTATTTCTAAAAAAGTTCAACATACACAAAAATATGATCCAGTCACAAGGAGATTTTTTTTTTTTTAAGATGGGGTGTCTCACTATGCTGCCCGAGCCAGACTTGAACTCCTGGGCTCGAGGGATCCTTCTACCTCAACCTCCTGAGTAACTGAGACTACAGGCATCCACCACTGCACCTGGCCCCACAAGTAGACCCAAGAGAAATGAAAGTACACATTCACACAACAATTTGTACATAAATGTTCATAGAAGCTTTGTTTATAATAAACAAAAAATGCAAACAATCCAAATGTCCATCAATAGATGAAAGGATAAACAAATTATGGCATGTGCCTAAAATAGAATATTATTCAGCAATAAAAAGGAATTAAAGCATTGATATATGCTCTAATATGTGTGAATCTAAAAATTATTATTATTTTTTGTTTGTTTGTTTGTTTTTGAGACAGAGTCTCACTCTCTTGCCCGGGCTTGAGTGCTGTGGCATCAGCCTAGCTCACAACAACCTCAAACTCCTGGGCTCAAGCAATCCTCCAGCCTCAGCCTCCTGGGTAGCTGGGACTACAGGCATGCACCACCATGCTGGGCTAATATTTTCTATTTTTAGTTGTTTGGCTAATTTCTTTCTATTTTTAGTAGAGATGGGGTCTCGCTCTTGCTCAGGCTGATCTCGAACTCCTAAGCTCAAGCAATCCTCCCATCTCAGCCTCCCAAAGTGCTAGGATTACAGGTTGTGAGCCACCAAGCCCGGCCTAAAAATAATTATGTTGAATGAAAAAGGCCAGACAAAAAAACATGCTGTAGAATTTTAGTTATATAAAATTAATCAAATTAATTAATACAAATTAATCTTCAGTGACAAAAAGCAGATCAGTAGCTACCTGGGGACAGGGTGGGGCAAGAAAGAGCAGGAGAGGAATTACAAAGTGGTACAAGGAAATTTTTGAAGGTGATGTTCACTACCTTGACAGTGGTGGTAGTTTCACTGATATATGCATATGTGAAAACTTATCAAACTGTACACTTTAAATATGTGCAGCTTATTGTATGTCAATTATACCTCAATAAAGCTATTAAAAATACTATTATCAGCCAAAAGCATGATATACTAAGTAATAAATTTAGTAAAACATGTTCAAGACTTTTATAACTATAAAACATTGTTAGACACCGAGACACTGAGAGTTGCAGCAAAAAATTTAAAAAATAAAAAACATTGTTAGACGAAATCAAACAAGACCTAAATAAATGGAGGGACACATCATGTTCATATGGATTGGAAAATGCAACTCAATATCGTTAAGATGTTCGCTCTCCCAAAATTAATGTATACACTCAATGCAATCGAACCAAAAGCCTACTGTGTAGGTGTTTTGTAGCTTTTGTATAGAAACTGACAAAGGAATTCTAAAATTCCTTTGGAAACACAAAGGACACAACAGTCAAAATAATTTTGAAAACGAATAAAGTTGGAAGACTCACACTACCTAATTTCAAGACTTAGTACAACACTACAGTAATCAAGACAGACATATAAATCAATGAAACTATGAAAAGAGTTCAGTAATATATTCCAACTGATTTTCAATAAAGATGCCAACATAGCTGGATAATTTCAATAAATGGTGTTGGATCAAACAGACATCAATCTGGAAAAAACTGAACTTCAACTTTACCTCATACCATACACAAAAATTAATTCAATACATATCATAAGCCAAAATATAACAGCTAAAATGATAAAACTTCCAGAAGAAAATATGAGAGAAAAAGTTTTGTGAAGTTGGTGATGGTAAAGATTTCTTAGACAAGAAGCACAAAATGCATAAATGCATAAGCTTTTAAAAAATTTGGTACACTGGCCTTCACTGACATTTAAAACTCCTGTTCTTCAAAAGCCACTGTTACAAAAATAAAAGAGCTAACCACAGACTTACAGAAAATATTACAATATGTATCTGAGAAAGGACTTGTATCAAGAGTTCTTTATGGCAGGCGTGGTGGCTCGCACCTATAATCCTAGCACTCTGGGAGACAAGGCAAGAGGATCCCTTGAGCCCATGAGTTTGAGACCAGCCTGAACAACAGTGAGATACTGTCTCTACTAAAAATACAAAAATTAGCTGGATCACCTGAGCCCAGGAGTTTGAGGTTGCAGTGAGCTACGAAGATGCCACTGCCCTCTAGCCTGGGCAACAAACCAAGACTCCTTTACAATACAATAAAGAGTCCTTTACAATACAGTAATAAAAAGATTACCAAAAAAAAAAAAAAAAACAAAAAGATTACAAACCCTAAATTTAAAATGGAGAAAAAGAATATATACAAATGGCTAACAGCAAATGAAAAGATGTTCACTATCATTATTCGTCAGAGAAAATCAAATTAAAACTACAAAGAGATATACTACCCAGCCACTAGACTGCCTGAAAAGGCCTGGCAACATCAAGTATTGCCAAAGATGGGGAGCAATTAAACCTTCATACATCATTAGAAAAATATAAAATGGCACCACCACTTACCAGATGACCCATTTATTCCACTCCTAGGTACACTTGATCCTTTAAAGCACACACAAAACATGGGTTTGAACTGCACAAGTCTACTTATATATCGTTTTTTTTCAACCAAAAATGGATCAAAAACACTGTATTCATATGATGTAAAACTTGTGTACACAGAGGGCTAGCTTTTCATACACACAGGTTCCACAGGGCCGACTGTGGGACTTGAGTATGTACAGATTTTGTTATACACAGAGGTCCTAAAGCTAATTCCCTGAGATTACTAAAGGATGACTCTATTTACCCAAAAGAAATGAAATTATAAGTCCACACATGAATGTTCATAGCAGTTTTCTTTGTAATAGCCCCAAACTGGACACATCCAAATGTTCCACAACAGATGAATGGATAAACAAATTGTGGCCGAGTCACACAATGAAACAGTACATAATAAGGAATGAACTACTGCTTCATAAAACAACACAGGTAAATATTAAAAACACTATGCCAAATAAGAGTTTAGACATGAAAGTGTACATACTATATGATTCCATTTATGTGGCATTCTAAAAAAACTATAGTGACAGACAGCAGATATGTCAATAGCTGAGGCTTGAGGTGATGGGAGGATTGACTGGGAAGGCTAAGAAGGGCTTATGTAGGTGATGACACAGATTCTACTGGTGGCAGTGGTTAAACTGGTATTTACAGTAGTCAAAAATCATCAAACTGTACACTTAAAATAGATACATCTTACCACATGAAAACTAGATCACAGGAATGATTAAAATTAAACAATATATTGCTTAAGCACACATATAGATGACAGAACAATTTTATTTTTCAAATCAAGGTTATGACAAATACTAAGCTTATGACTATGTTTGACCCTGGTTGGGGAGCTAGTTAGGATTAAAGTAGCTAGCTAGGGGATTTAAAAAAAGAGAGGAATAATATACAGGTAGATTAAAGTACTATTAATGATCTAGTTCTTGGGTTGGATAATATTCATCATATTATAAATAAATACACAAAATAAGAAAGGTATCATGTGGGGAGCAATATGACAGTGTGTCACAGTTAATCTCATTCTCTGGACTTGAGGTACAGATTAAAAAAAAAAAAAAGGTAGTCACCTCACCCATATATTTCCCATGTCTCAGATGTAGGAAATATGCGAATAAATCCACCTCTCCGATCATTCTCTTCCTTCACCCTCCGTAAAACTTTGATCTAGATGGAAGAAAAGAAAATGAATGAGTACATATTTTGAAAACTGGAATCCATGTGGCTGTAGGACAAAGGAAGCGAGTTATAATCCAAGAATATGAAAGAAACATGGAGAATTTAACTCCATTTAAAACATTGTTTCCTGAGAAAAAATTTCCCCCACCTTGTATCTTTCCTGTTCAATTTTAGATGTGAGTTTGCCATAAATATTATAACTCACTCACTAATTTTCACTGAATCCTGTGTTGACCCACAAAGGCCTGAAAAGGAGTTATCTTTACCTCCTCCATTGACAGACCAAGCACAGAACCACCTAACTTCCCCGGCACTTTCTCCCGGGTTGAGCCCACAAGGTTTTTCATTTCCGCATCACTGGCAGAGAGTGGACGGGAACGCTAAGGAGAAGAAAATAAAAATAATAAAGTTTTTTAAAACACAGTTTTCATCATTCCTCATTTCCCTCTGTTCATTCCCTTACGTCATTATCTTTCCTAGTACATATAAGCTCAAATCCATAGCCCATTTTCTGTAATCTCTTAGCCTGAAACCCTGAGAAACAGATGAAAGCTAGAAAGCTCAAAGGTAAGAAGAGAAAACAGAATAGCAGAAAAAACACTGTCGGTTGAGACAGAAACACACAGAAAAAAAAGAATAAGGTTCATGTGACTTTCTAAGCTAGTACTTAACCCTAACCTTGGTTTTAGAGTAAATCCAATATTTCAAGGATATGGAAAACATCTGAAAGAGTCTCAATAGAAAAGTGTGTATTTATTTAAGTAAATATATTCTTTTTAGCACTAGGGAAGGAGAGTTAAGAGAAGTGAGACATACGACACAAAACCAAGGAATAACCTATTATACCATAAATAAAAAAGTTGGGCTGTGAGATGTTTTAAAACTTGAGGAGGGAAATATTGAGATGTGGCTGTAACCAAAAGGCTACAACTTAGGAAATACTGTGGTTGCTGGACTTCAAGAGACCTGGAACAAGGATGACTACCCTGAGGAGTGCTCCAAGGCGGTAGCCAAATGTACCACGTACATCATTTGTTCCAAAAGACGATCTGGGCTATCTCAGCTTCTGAATGATGATGAGGGACCTCATCTGAGTACAAAGGTTTTAAGTGATTTTAATTTTATATGAACAGAAAAATAAAAAAGTAACAAAGGAAGCCAGATGGTATGAAACATGATAATATACTATTATTGAAATAGATGAAGTGACAGATAAAATAAGACAAATCTACCAAGTAGAAAGAACAGAAATAATTCACCAACTATGGGTGCAAATCATCTTCTAGATTCCTAGAGATAACTCAACCAAAGAGAAGCAGCCCTGTTGTCAGGAGCTATTGTTTGTCTTTCTCTATGTACGGACTATCTATAGAAAGGCATTTTGGTAATTAACTTTTGGCCTCTTCAGCAATATCCATTGTTATGGACTGAATGCTTATGTCTCTCTAAAACTCTTAGGTTGAAGACCTAACCTCCAATGTGATGGCATTCGGAGATAGAGCTTTTGGAAGGTAATTTGGGTTACATGAGGTCATGAGGGTGGAGCCCTAGTCTAATGGAAATGCTGTGCCCTTGTAAAAGATACTAGAGAGCTTAATCTCTCCCTCTTTCTCTCTCTCTGTCTGTCTGCCCCCCATCTGACTCCAGTATGTGCACCAAAAAGAGGCCATGTGAGCATACAACAAAATGGCGGCCACCTACAAACCAATAAAAGAAACCTCAGTATGACATCTACCTTGCCAGCACTTTGATCTTGGACTTCCCAGCATTCAGAACCATGAAAAAGAAATTTCTATTGTTTAAGCCAACTAGTCTGTGGCATACTGTCACAGCAGCCCAAACAAATGAATATACCCATGTACACAAATAACCAAAAACAGTTCTACCTTTGAACACAAGAGATGCCAATATATACTCATCTTCAAAGCTAGCATGGGAGTTATAAAAACTAAATTTTCTGATAGGTGACTCCAAGATGAGATACCTATATAAAGAAAAGCCAAGAAATCAACAGATAGATGTAAGCAACACATCAAGTACAGGGACTTTTATCAACGTAGCTTCTACTGTAGTGTCTTCAACATCTAGAATAGTACACGGTACTTGGCAAAGAGTAGATCAATAAATATTTGTTAAACAAATAAATGAATGAAAGTGCTAACATACAGATCAATCAGGGTCAGAACTGAATTTTGCAGAACAATTTTAGGAAATATCTTAACTCCTTTCAATCTCTGGAAATATATTAAACAATATGTATTGAAATGAGAGGGTTTATAGGGGAAAGTACAAAGATTTAGAAAGGAAACCAATATAATAATAATTTTTTAAAAATCATTAAAAAGTGTGAATATTTATTTAATGTATAATTTGGAAAAACCAAAATATTAAGTGAATGGTTTGAGGACTTTTCTCATGATCATACACTACTTATTATTTACCAAAAAATACTTATCTAGTTCACACATTACAGTATGTCCCTGATCATGGAGCCATAAGCTTTGGGATCCTCCCATATCCTCCCAAGTCAAATAGCCTTCTTACCTAATGGCTTTTAAAGTTGTCTTAAATTATATAAGGAGAGTAAGAAATAAGCATTCATTTTAATAATATAATAAAGATAAAGATTTTTTATAAAGCATTTAGAACAGAAAGAATGTTATCTAATAGTGCTGACAAACAAAATCTGTATTAAAAGGTTAATGAAAAATATTTTAAGAAATAGTTATGATCTATTAGAATAGTTTTAATACACTGCTGTATTTATAAGAACATGGGTCAAATCACTATTGAATGACATCTAAGGTGAACCTCCAATTTTTGTGGGTTTTTAAAAATGGATTTTAATATTCTTGGCTTCTAGAAATTGAGATAATGATTTTGTGACCTTCTTTTACTATCCGGTCCCTGTAAACAATGAATTAGAACCCCAAAACTCTTAAACTTCTCTGTCAATCACTTTCAATGAGTTATCTCCCATATACAACTACTCCTTATTTACTCATAGCCCACAATTCTAGCTCTAGCTACTGTGTACACACACATATGTGGACTGTTTGGGGTAGGGAAGAAGTCATGTAGGAATTCAGGCCTGTGCTTCTGGTTAGGGTATCAAGGAGGTTTGAGAAAGGAAAGAAAGTGACCTGAATTATAGACATAGGTGAAAGAAAAGGCAGGGAAAGACAGAAGGGAAGAAGAAAGGATAAGGAAGGGAGGGAAAAAGAAATGCTTATGAGCATCAAGAAGACACACTTGGAGATTAAAAAGCAAGGCGAAGGTAAAAAAAAAAAGAATCAGACTGATTTGAAAGGCCATCAGGACTATCAAAAACAAGCGCAAAAGAGTCCAAATGCAAGTCAGTCTGTGCTTTTGACTTTGGGCATATCAGCTACATACTCTGGGTGGTAGATATAATAATAAATCCATATATTCCCATGGGTTGACTGAATGCACTAAGGAAATAAGGCTCTTCTGAACTTAAAGAGAACAACTGCCTCTGGCTAGATAACATATGAATTAAACTATCAGGTGTTCAGATAAATTTTAAACTGTCGAATTACTGTCAAAGTTAAGAATTCCACCATGAAACATGCAGCAAAGATATTAAATTGTCATTAGTACAATTTATGATTCAGAAATCTACCCAGAGAAGAAACTTTTGCCTATCTCATCACTATTGCTAAGGAAGAACTGACTGAGAATATAAAATTATTGAGACAAGTAATCTCATGTCTCTACTCAAAGCAGCAAGAAACAGATGTTGAATCAGAAAAATGATTTTCAGCCTAAAGAAAACTGGCAAGTTAACAATGATGAGAAGAATCTAACAAAAAGTAGAACAGGAAAAAAGGTGAGATATCCTAAAAGATATCAAAATTGAGGGGAAAAAATAAAATCTGTTTGACAGGGAACACATGCAAAGAATAAAAATCTCCCAATGCAGTTTTATAAACTTTGGAGTAAAGAAACTAGAAATAGCTCAATTTACATGTGATGTATTTGCCATCTAGAAAATAAAAGGTAAAATTAAGTTTAAGAAGCAAAATGAATTAATGCTATCAACTGAAAGAAAAAAAGTAAAAAGAATAACATATCAAGAAATCTGACCGGAAGTTGACAAAAATGGTTTCTAAGAGAAGGTTTAAACATAATGATAATAAGAAGTATACTTTGAAATTTGGGGGGAAAAGGAAAGTAAGTAAGTAGGCTTGTGTAGAAATTTGGAATAAATGTAAGTCAGCAGGTCTGAGAGACATGCATCCTGTTATTAACGGAATTGACTTTAAAAAGAAAAAAACTTACCAAAACCACTTATAATTATGTTTGAAAAATCATGAAGAACTAAGGAGGTACCAGAGGATTAGAAAAAAACAAATGAGGTACCAATCCTCAAAAATGTAAGATGTGATTACCGCCTGGTAAGTCTAACTCAAATCCCTAGTAAAATAATGGAACATATATTAAAAGAAAAAAATCCATAAACATTTAATGGGCTCAGGATGAATAGTATGGAAGCTGCATTATTTATTTTAAAAATGCTTTAAAAGTTGAATTTGGGGGACAAAATTAAAAAAAGAGGACAATAGCAAATATATTTTAATGTCATTGGACTTCACAGAAGCATTTAAGAAAATGTCATGAAATTTTTATTCTAAATTATATTTCTAATCAGAGGTTAGTGCCATAATATAATGACTATAATACAATGACAAAAACTAAAAACAGTTAAGAACCATAACTGTAAAATAGGTAAGTATTAATAGCTATGAATCAAGTTAGGAAGTGATTTCCAGGATGTGGATTAATTAAGCATTATTTAGAATCTTCTTTAACATCTGGAAGGAGAAATAAACAAATAAATAAAACAGCAAATGTGGATGACAGCAAATGTGAAAAACATGACTATAAGTAGCTGAAAATCAAAATAATACCGATAGTGACAATGGGAAAAGGAAAATAAAAATAGGATTCAAAAGTATAAAGGGGACTAAATTTTCTGAGTATAAACTATTATACATGTCCAGTGCTGTCCTGAATATTTTTCCTATGTTTTATCACTTCCTTCTCAACATAACTCCATGTATATATTATTATATATCCCTATTTGACAGCTGTGGGAACTGAGCCTCAGAGAGGTAAGGGACCTTGCCCAAGGTCTGATAGCTAGTGATTGGCAGAAATCAAATATGAATCCAGGTCTGTCTGATTCTAAAGTATATGTGTTTTCCACAACACCATGTGATACAATTTCTGGTGGGAGGCAAATTTGAACCACACACATTCAAGGGAAGGGAGAAATGTAGACAGAATAGATTAAAAAGGAAAAGGCAGACAAAGGGCAAAGAAGAAAGAGTTCACAATTTTACAGCAACAGAAAAAGAAAATGACATAGTCTAAATAGTCAGAACAGGGAATTTCTTTTCTTTTCTTTTCCTTTTCTTATCTTTTCTTATCTTTACTTAGCTCTGATGAAACTACTGTAGAGTTGGGAGTACTACATTAACAGAAAGACAATGACAAAGTAGAACACTGCAAATAAGAATAAGAGTCAAAGAATCCAACATGTATAAATCTGGCTGAATAAAACCAGAAAAAGTTTTGTGTCAAGCAAGTGCTCAAACATATAACTTCTAAAGAGAGGCCTTGCTCTCCAACAAGGCTACTGCAACCTATGGCAATTCAACCAATGCAATTAGATGCAATGGAATTAAAACGTATAAAGAGAAATTAAGATTCGAATTGCATATGAAAGACACTTCTTTAGAGTCAAACTCAAAAGTCTATGAAAGAGTACTCCTTCCTAATGTTCTCCTTTAAGTAAATAGTTCAAGGAAAATTTAGAATGTAAACTCTTTGAAGTCAACAGCCTTGTTTTGTTTCTATTTATTTATATATTTATTTAGCCATGGATAGCAACTAGCATACTTAGGCACTTACTAAATATAAAGCACTACATATTACAAGAGTTTTGAATTCTACCAACTAAATACCAAAATTCATATTATAGAACCACATTAACCAGCTACCAAATACTAGACAAGGCACCCAGTAATGATTTTTTTTTCATTTCTTGGATTCATATAAACCACATAAATCACTTTATCAGAAACAGTAGCTAAGAAAGTTACAATTCAAGCTTCCAAGCTTACCAGAAACTGCATCACAGAGTACAAATGCCAAAATAAATATACTAGAGCTTTTTGCTAAATAACTAATAGTCACAGCGACACATTTATGTAAGAGAACATCTATATCCCTCAGACTAAAATATCAAATAGTAAGAGCAAGATCCCCACTGCTAGTCTATTACTACAAAAAGATATTTTTAAAAGTCTGTGTAGAAGAAGTGACAGTTAACCTCAAATACTGTTAACACAAACACTAAGAGAACAAATGGTGATCATTCAGAAAGAAAGATTTGTCTTTATTTTAAAGGTAGCATCCGAGACACTAATTATGGCAGAGTTTCCAAGATGCATAAACTGCGAATCACTATATATTAATATATGAAATGTCATCTGTTAAGAAACTCAAATACAGCCCACCACCCAATGTGAAAATGTTTCTAATGTTATGCTACTGGTAACAGTTGGTTTCATAAGATGTCTGAACGAAACAGAGTTCATTTGTGAACTGTAATATTCCCTTTCTGGAATGTTATGATCAAAGTGATAGATATGCCTGCCTCTAAGCCGTATTCACCATTTAAATTCAGATGCCTCCATCACAGCAAATTGTGATGGGAAAAGAGGATTTCTAGATTCCTGCATCCTCTACTCTTACATTCTATAACCAAGAAGACATCTGTGCATTTATTTTTATTTATTTTATTTTATGTTATTAAACTGTGCAAAGCAGGTACAATACAATATGTACCATGAAAAACTAAGCTAAAGGCTTTCCATTTGGGGAATGGAAATAAAAGGTGAATTAAATCTCCAAATGATCCAGAACTTACCTGCTTGGTGTTTGATGACTGAAACTGTGCAGATACTGGACGCTATAAAAGACAGAAAAATGGAATAAAGCCTTATCTTCTCCTAACATGCCTACATTTTCCATCTCCTGCATCTAAGACATAGAAAAGTAAAAAATAATGTCCAACCAGAGACAAAAAGCAAGAGCCCTACACTTTGTGGTTGGAAAGTTAGAGCATTTATCATCTTTCACACTGCTTTCTCCTATGCTATATATATTCCAGCTTTAACATCTCACCACTGAGGAAACAATCCTACTACCAGATACTGAAGATCCTGAAGTTAACTAGTCCACCTGACAAATCTGTTTCACACAGTCCACACAAATGATCTACATTTCCTTTAGCCTGCATGTAAGTGTCATGTGGGCTACTTAAATATGAAATCATGTGATTACCTACCAGTTAGCAAAACAAGTGTTCAATAGATTCTCTACAATCTGCCAAAATTTGCCAATAAGAGCTGACAGGCAAGCTAAGAAAAGGGATCAGTTCATCTAAGTTGGCATACAGCTACCTCTAGAAGTGACACTTGGCAGAAACTGTGTCAAAGCTACACAGAAACAGTGGCGATCCTATATATGCAATCCTGTAGCTTTTGCCACAGATACTGCAGGAAACAATTTGCAAAGAAATTTGCAAACAGTTTACCTAAATTAAGTTTTCCTCCTAGTATACCTAGGTTAATCCTCTACTTTTTCTTATTAAAAATTAAAGGAAACTCTTTGATCTGTGTTGATGCACTGATCAAGTACAACACTGTTGCCTAGTTTCATTTCTAATCAAGATAAGACCCCTTAAAATATAGAACACCCTGTTCCACATCCCAACACTAATTAGAGAATCACCCTAGAGCAGGGGTCACAGACAGGCAGCCCACAGATTGAATCTAGCTCAAAGATACATTACATTTGGTCTAAGTAAAAAAAAATACTTCTTTTTTTAAAGGAACTATTGGCCAATATTTAAAAGTATGATTTCTGATTTCTCTTGACAATAGGAAGATCTCACAACACTTGGCCCACACTTATGCATGAAGTGATCAGCTAGAGCACATCAGTAAAACAGCTGCCCCTTTAGATGAGGCATACACACTCCAGTTTACCTCAGTCACATCATTCCTAGCATTATTACACCTGCCCCTGTTTATTCATTTACATCACCTGCCTGCAGGCCCCATAGGTGTTGCCTTTGAAAATCCTGTTCTAACGACAAATTACCTGAATTAATAATAGTACATGAGCTTGACAAACAGAAAATAACACTACTCTAAATGAGGCCAGCAAGCAAAAGGAATAAGAAGAGGAAGAGGAGTGGAAGATTGGAGGAAAAAAGGGAGGAATAAAGAGCTTAAGTGGAGGTAGGAGAGGGATAAAAGGAGAGGCGAAGCAGCAGCTACTTACGCCTTCAAAGAGCTTACAATCTAGCAGAGGAGTACTGAACAATTTAAAAATCAATGAATGTAAACAATGTAATATAGAAAAGTAAATAATGTTGAAATGAAAAGTAAAGGTTATGAAAGAGTAGGATGAATTTAGTAAGAAAGGTCTCCAAAATTTCGGAGCAGGCAAGGTAATTAAACCAGATGGGAAGACAGGAGGGAGGTGGATCTTTCAAATAAGAAGAAATGTTAAAGCCAAAGATACAGAAGCGAAAACTACCAGGGTCAAAACAGGCAGGGACTGACAACATGGTAAAATTGAGTAAACAGAAGGATTAGCTGATTGGTTTAGCTGGATCAAAAATGCAGAGTACACAAAGACAGGAGCATTGCTTGATCAAATGATGTTTCAGAGATACACAACTTTCTTTAGGCATTCATCTCATTTAGCCTCAGTCAATTCATGATCATGGAGGGTCCTTTTGAAGAGAATTACTTATAGAGAAGATACTGTTTCAATGAAGCATCATCTTTATGAAGCTAGTCTGAAGATCAAAAAGAATTCAGTAATGATTAAGAATTAGTAGGCTCATTCTCTGTGCTTTGTTTATGAGCATATCAATCTGAGGGAGAAAAAGGTGCTTCATAAAAGGAGAGAGAATGGAAAAAGGAAACAATGAGAAAAAGCAGCTAAGAGAAAATACAAAACAAAAAAAAGGAAGTAAGTTCATTGGAAAGCACTGAAAGCACTGCTATTAGCCTGCTGTCTAGCTTGATCCCCAAATTCTCCTGCTCTAAGTGACCTCATATCCACAGTGCTTCAGATACCACTTCTGAGAATGCCTCTTTTTGGGCTCCCTGCTGCTGAATTTGCTTACCTGAGGTTTCTGGAAAGGATTTCGCCTGGAAGACTCAAAGGTGGGATAAATTGGCCGGGTTGATGCCCGCTGGGCAGGATCTTGGCACACAAATCCTGAATGGGGAATGGGCAACATTAAAACCTACCATTTTCTAAGAAATTAGCAGGTTTGTCTGTGCCTTTTCTTTAGATTTACAAACTCGGTTTCACTGTCATAAATACTACAGAGATCCATACCCAAAAGGACTATGCACAAGTCTCACACACACACATTCTGTTTGAACTTTGAACCACCATAACTGGAGAGAACAAGAAAAAAGAAATATGCAGATAAATCCACCTTGCTGGTTGCATAGCTGAAATGTGATTCTGATTTGGAAAGAGAAGTAGATTTTTGATGAACCTCTGAATAAATTGCAAATCACTATTTTAAAACACAGTTGTTATTAATAAAAACAAGTTATTTTAAAGTGACTTCCTGGATAATGACTGAAAAATAATGTTTTTTTTATAGGGAGAATCCAAAAGCAAGTGCACAGTCTTGTCCTGTTATACGATCTACTTCTGAAACTGCAGAAGGTGATCTATTGGAAATTTTTAAAATAAGCTTTGTAGATTATCTATGGCTTTAGAAATTGGACTTCGGCTAATTTTACTTACTTCCTAAAAAGAAGCAGATTCTCATCCAAGGAGAATAAAGTAGCCAAGTTTTACAGCATTTGCTGGTACATCAGGTCCTAGTTCATCTCAAATAAATTTTATTATATCTTTTTATAGTACTCAAAAACAACAGCAACAACAAATGTACAACATACCCACCTGACTGCACATCTCCATTTCAAAGTTTTTGCTTATCTATTTAAAATGGGATTTCTTCCTTGGGCTGCTTTGGTTACAACTACTACAGAATGGATCACATTGAGACCAGTAGAGACTGTCTAGCAGAAATATAACCAGTCTCCTTTGTAACAAGGCTTCTTCAGTGGGTTTCACTTTCCCAGCTCAGAGTAAAATATACTTTCTCCAGATCCTTGCTTAATTCTCTTCCTCAGCTCATAATTCCTGTGTCCCAGGTCTCAGCCTTAGTTGTGGTTCAGCCTCAGGACAGGATGGAGCCAGGGGGAGTAGAAACATATAAACATTTCCCTGAAAATATAATTTTTTAGTACAAAACATTCAGCGTGGCTTAGGAACTGCCAGTTGGCAATACATATGGAGTCTGACAAAATGGATGCTCTGGTTAATTTGTGTGAGTCCAGTTCAGAAAACAATACTACTCACCTACAACCGTGAACATATCTGAAATCATACTGGCTTTAATCTTTAGGTCCAGAGGTGCATCACTAACAGAACAGAGAAAGAAAAGAGTAATTGATAATTTTGTAGGTTAATGGAATAGCTGCCCTCCAATGGGCCCCAATATAGTAAAGTTTCCAAATGTCAATGAGGAGCAACACATAAAGTACATCAAATCCATGGAAAAAGAAAAAGAAATCTGGGCCAAAATAGCAGAAATAAAAGCCTGGTGTTAAACTTATCCTCAGGAAGGCAGGCCCAGCACCAAAGCATGGTTCCTTAACATGCAATTTTTTTATTTCAGAAGGTCTTATTTTGCACAAATTAAGAATACTGCTTCATTATCACTGTAGGTTTTATAGGTTTTCTTAGTATGCTCTTTTATGAGTGTGCTGTCATGCAAATTATATTTTATTTCTGCGATAGTCAAATCACATTCATATGCAAGAGAAGAAAGTTTGGCAACCTTTGTACTTTTTTTTAAGTTTTCATTTTCTGTTCTAAATCAATCATTTTAGGCTTACAGGCTTGCAAACAGGGCAAAAAAATACAAGTCATACCAAAATCTTACCAGATGATACAGCAGGAACCCACATGGAAACAAAGGTAACATGGACCAAAAGCAAGAGGTCTCCTTGTGGCAGTGACTGCCACGCTAGCTTTGGCATTGAGGTGTTCCTCCAGAAACCATACTACTCTCGCTGCCATACTCAATGTGTCACTCTGGGGACCTCTAACATGGTATAATGTACTTTAGTGGATAATCTGTGAAAGGCTGACTTGACAAAAGTTTAACATAACATCTGAAACACGTTAATATCTAGCTCTACACCTTACTGTTGAGGTTAAGCCAAACTCCCACTCCACAAAGTAGTCAATCTGTCTTTATTTGATTACTTGGCATTTTGCCAATATCTCTCATCCTTAAAAACTCAGCAGCTGGGTGGTCTTTGGCATAAATCTCTAGGGCTCTCTGTTTACAGAAGTATATAGCTAATAGAAATTCTGGCTGTAGATCCAAATATAAGAATAATCTTCTCTGATATTGAAAAATATGTTTCTTGATTTCTTTTTCTTTTTTTGAGATAGAGTCTCACCCTGTCACCTGGGCTAGAGTGCTGTAGTGTCAGCCTAGCTCACAGCAACCTCAAACTCCTGGGCTCAAGTGATCCTCCTGCCGCAGCCCCGAGTAGCTGAGACTACAAGCATGCACCACCACACCTGGCTAATTTTTTCTATTTTTAGTAGAGAAGGGGTCTCACTCTTGCACAGGCTGGTCTCGAACTCCTGACCTCAAGTGATCCTCCCACCTTGGCCTCCCAGAGTGCGAGGATTACAGGCATGAGCCGCCGCACCCACATGAGTTTCTTTCCTTCCTTTAAACAATAGCTTGGTTAAAAAAAATTCTTTTAAGATTGTTTGAAGTTTTTTAGACTTTAATCTTGGATAAATATCAGAACATGGGACAGGGTAAGAGGACCAGATATTATCTACACTGCCCTGAGTTCAGCTTTATATCTTTATAGTATATGTGGATTTGAGTCTATATAAACTTTTGGTAACAAAAGAAATATAACACACTATGTATTTATTTAGCCTTGAGAAGATCTACAAAATTTTTTTTTAAAAAAATGGGGATGAAAATGAATGGAGGGGCTGGGTGTGGTGGTTCACACCTGTAATCTTAGCACTTTGGGAGGCCAAGGTGGGAAGACTACTCGAGGCCAGGAGTTTGAGACTCCTGGGCAATAGAGAGACCTTGTCTTTAACAAAAAAAAAAAAGAAAGAATTAGCTAGGTATGCTGGTACATGCCTGTAGTCCCAGCTACTTGAGAGGCTGAGGCCAGAGGATCACTGGAGCCCTGGAGTTTGAGGTTGCTGTGAGCTACGATGATGCCACTGCACTATTCACTCCAATCTGGGCAACAGAGTAAGACCCTGTCTCCAAAAAAAAAAAAAAAAAAAAAAAAAGAAGGAGAAGAATGGAGGATGGAGGAATCACCCTTTAGAAGCCCAATAAAGAGTAAACATATATTACAAATTGACTGGGAAGACAGAGATTCATGGTTGTCACACAGACTCTGACAACAAATCATAAACCATCTAAATTAAGAAATTCTAGTCATTTTTAATAACTAGGAAAAAAATCTTCTAGTGCCAAGAGAAATGAAAAAAAAAAAGAAAAAGAAAAAGTGTTTTCACTACTTTAAGGCTTTTCTAGCTGATGGAACTGACTTACCAAGCCAAAGAAGGAGAGAGATTCACTTCCAATAACCATGGCTTCAGAGTAGAATCTATGAGCACGTCAAAGCCATAGAGTTCTAGAAATACAACATAACATAATACACAAGATCATTTTCCATGTTACACCACACAAAGATCTAGAAGATTCAATCCAATGAACTCCCATCAGAAGCTAGAAACTAGGGGAGGCCAAGGCGGGAGGATTACTTGAGCTCAGGAGTTTGAGACCAGCCTGAGCAAGAATGAGACCCCCGTCTCTATTAAAAATAGAAAAAAATTAGCCAGTCAACTAAAAATGAAACAAAAAATTAGCCAGGCATTGTGGCACATGCCTGTAGTCCTAGCTACTTGGGAGGCTGAGGCAGGAGGATTACTTGAGCCCAAGAGTTTGAGGTTGCTGTGAGCTAGGCTGATGCCACTGCATTCTAGCCTGGGCAACAGAGTGAGACTCTGTCTCAAAAAAAAAACAACAAAAAAACCCAAACAAACAGAAGCTAGAAACTGAGCATAAGTAGTGAAGTGGAAGTAGAAGCAGAGAATCTTTCAAGCTCAAGAGAAATGAATCAAGTTCTAGGGATAATAAGAAAACAATGCTATTTGAAATGCTATATGAAATTCTACTGTTTTTATCATCCACTCTATTGATGTTCCTAAGAAGCAGAGGAACTTGACTCTAGAAGAGTTAACAAGCATGATTCTGCTGTGCTTATGGGCAAAAAAAAAAAAAAAATGTTGGGAAAAGGAATGAAACAAGTGCATCTAATATCAATGCTGCTTTGGGCCTGCTCAGGATTGTCCTCCCTCGCCACCTTCCTGCCATACCCTGAACACAGAAAAATCTACTGAAGGCATCTCTCTAGGATCTTGCCATCAGATTTTCTTAGACCAGGATCTTGCTCTTGCAACCTAGGTCAAGAAGACATCTAAATGTAAAATGTATTTACTGTTTTCTCTCTATTACAGTTTCAATTTCCCTTTAAAGACAGAAAATGAAACACAATAGCTGAACACAGACAGAAAGAGAAAAGAGAAAGCCAGTGGTAGCAGAGCAGAAGTGTGACCACACACATTACTGCACCACTAATATTTAAAAAGGCAAGGAGTCTTCTTAAATATCAAATTGCCATGGTTTCTGGATTCTTGACTGATTCTCTTCCTTTACCTCCCCAACTATTGTAAGGAGCAAAGACAGACCCATGAGCAGGATTTCCTCCCAGGATGCCTGGTTTCATTTAACAAATTCAGGGATGGGAGGGTAATTTTGGGACCCTTCATATTATTATTGAGCCCCACTCTACAGAAATCACAATAGTGCAGTCCTTGGTGTACATATATGTCAAATATATCAGACTTTCAGAAGTCCCACTCACTCCCAAACATCTTATCCCATGTCCCTAAAATAAAAACGGCTTATACCTTTAACTCTAAGAGAAAAAGACTACCTTCCTTACTATTTGACTAGAGTTCACAGGCCAGAGCTCATACCCATAGAACACAACTAGGTATTTTCCAGAAATTAATTTTTATACAAATTTCCTTGCTTTAAGAAAGATTTTAGGTTGGGCACAATGGCTCACACCTGTAATCCTAGCACTCTGGGAGGCCGAGGCGGGAGGATCGCTCAAAGTCAGAAGTTTGAAACCAGCCTGAGCAAGAGTGAGATCCCGTCTCTACTAAAAATATATAGAAAAAATTATCCGGGCATGGTGGTGCATGCCTGTAGTCCCAGCTACTCAGGAGGCTGAGGCAGAAGGCTCGCTTGAGCCCAGGGGTTTGAGGTTGCTGTGAGCAAGGCTAACGCCATGGCACTCTAGCCCAGGAAACAGAGTAAGACCCTGTCTCAAAAAATAAAGATTTTATTTCTCCATCCTCTTAAATAGCAGAAAATAATTCTAAAAAGATAGCTTCCAAAGACTCTTCTCCAGAACACAGGAAGTCTGACTTTATATGATGCAGTACCAAGAATCTTAGAATGGGAATCTGAAGACCTAGTTGTCCTCATGACTCTACACTATGGCACTTGGGGAAATCATTTCTCTCTCTCAGATTTCTTTAGCATCCTTTGATTTCCTTTAGCCTCTTTATTAATCACTGTTTGTTGTATGTGGATGCTCAGTAAACCTATATACTATTTATGCAGTATGGATTCAGGCAGACATGCATATTCTAAACCCTCTAGGGAAGTTTCCATGAATGAGCTGACTTTCATAGCAATTATCTGGGATTCTATTTACTTTGCAAAAATAATCACAAACAATACAAGAATTTGTGATGGATTCACCTTCATGTAACTATATAAAATTTCCATGTTATCTATACTATAAAATGTAAAGAAAAGGAAGCTCTTTCACCTACCTTCTTTCGGTAATGAATTCATAGCTTTTAAGGCTAGTACATTCTTCTGAATATCTGACATAATCTTCAGTAATCCCACAGAATATTCCCCCTTTAACCTGAGAAAAATCTTTTGCAATATAGCACTAAATAAGGGTATTTAAAAGGAAAAAATATAATTGCAAAGTCTACAAGTCCATGTTATCATTACACAAGAGGGAATACAATATCTGACTCAAGAAAAATAATATGTTACAAGCACAGGATTCAACTATTTTATATAGTTATTAATAATTATAAGTTATTAATATTATAATTATTAATAATAATAAGAGGAACAATGGTAAAAATAATGATATACATAGTGATTAGATTTGCAGAATCAGCCACAAATGAAAACAAAGTCAAATCAACTTAAGAATCAATAAGGCTGGGAGTGGTAGCTTCTGCCTATAATCCTAGCACTCTTGGAGGACAAGAAGGGAGGATCACTTGTGGCCAGGAGTTCAAGACCAGCCTGAAAGAGAAAGACACTCTATCCCTACAAAAAACAGAAAAATTAGCCAGGTGTGGTGAAACACGCCTGTAGTCCTAGCTACTCGAGAGGCTGAGGCAGGAGAATCCCTTGAGCCAGGAGTTCAAGGCTATAGTGAATTGTGATGAGGCCACTGCACTCCAGCCTGGGCAACAGAGTAAGATCCTATCTAAGAAAACAAAAAACAAAATAAGTAAGACCCACTATTTAAACACCTTGCATTAAGCAGCTACCACGTTTACTTAACCATTTTCCCAAATCAGAGGCAAATCCCAAGAATCTCAGTTGACAAGCTGAGAACCAATGTTCTGGGAAGTAAAAAAAAAAAAATGACCTAGAGAAAAAACAGCCTTCACAGTGTTAAATTAATTTTCACTCAAAAGAATAAAACCTGTTAGTGCTTAATAATCTCCATGGAGAGTATGGCCAAACTAAACAAACAAACCTCAAATCTAACTTTATCTGTACATGTACCAGGCTGAGACCTACTACCATCGAAGAGTTGAGGAAGAAACACATATTGGTATGTGACAGCATTGTTAACATGGTGCAAAGCCCAGCTCATCTAAAAGGCTGGAATTAGGGGAGCAAAAATGGGCTGAAAAGATAGTTTTTGTATCAGGTTTCCCTCTTAGAAGAATCAACTCAGCTTAAGAAAGATAATTTGGGTCTTTGGAAGGCTGCTAGAGTCCTTATAACACTTTTAACTTATGATTGGTATTTTCTATGGACATTAAAGATTTTAAAAGGTAAGGTGTAGATTGTAGCAAGAATATTAAACTTCCTCACCCTTTAATGTTGTGTGTTTTAGCAGCAGTGTCTAGAATTTCAAATCTTCAGTATCCCAAAAGAGATATACCAGTGTTCCTGTCATTAATGGGTACAGGCAAGCTAGGCTTTTCTGGTTCTCACAGCTCCTCTTTCTTTGCTCGTCTGTGTTGTCTTCATCATGAGAAAAGAGCATGACTCAAGCAATCCTTCTGCCTCAGCCTCCCAAGTAGCTAGGACTATAGGCACAGTATACCACACCAGGCAAATGTTTCTATGTTTTATAGAGATGGGGTCTTGCTATGTTGCTCAGGCTGGTCTCAAACTCCTGGCCTTAAGTAATCTTCCTACCTCAGCCCCACAAAATGCTAGGATTACAGGCATGAGCCACTGTGTCCTGCCCTCTATTCTAGTTTGATGTATAATTTCTTAAGTGTACAATTTGATGAGCCTTGTTAACTGGATATCCCCATGTAACCCACACTCCTCTCAACCCACACAGTACATTTCCATCACCCCAAAGAGATCTCTCATGCCCCTTTCTCGTAAATACACCCACTCCAATCCCTGACAACCACTCGTCTTATTTCATTCAAAACTAAGAGACTAGTTGCGCCTATTCTGGCACTTCATTTAAATGGAATCATATAGTATATACTCTTTCAAGTGTGGCTGCTTTCATTTAGCATGTTTTTGAGGTTCACTCATTTATCACTTCTTTGTTTTAAGACAGATTTATTAAGGTACAGTTTATATATAATAAAATTCCCCCTTTTAAAATGTGCATTTTGATGAGTTTTGACAAACATATACAGTTGTTTAAACACCACAATCAAGAAATAAAACAATTTTATCACAAACATTCCTTTGTGCCCCTCTGCAATCTATCCCCATCCCCACACCCCAGCAACCACTGATCTGGTTTTTGCCTGTTTTCTGCCTTTTCCAGAAAAATCAAATAAATGGAATAAATACACAATGTAGCCTTTTGAGACTGGCTTCTTTCACTTAGCATTGAGCTGTTGAGATTTATCTATGTTGTTACAGGTATCAAGAATATAGTTCATTCCTTTTATTGATGAGTAGTATTCTATTATATGGACAGTCATCCATTCAATGGCTGATGGACATTTGGGTTGTCTCCAATTTTTGGTAATTATAAATAAAGCTGCTATAAACATTTGTGTACAAGTATTTGTGTGACCATATGGTTTCCTTTCTTCTGAGTAAATACCTGTGAGTGGAATTGCTGGGTCACATGTTAACCGTATATTATTACTGCATACCTCTTACCTCCTTGGTCATTTCCCTAGCACTATCCTTTCCCCACTGTAGTCCATTCTCCAAAGCCATCAGGATTACTTCTCCTACAAAAACAAATCTAATAGTCACAGAGACAGGCAGTCAATTGGCCCAGCAATAGACACTGATGTCAGCTTG